GACAGGCAGATAGATCCTGCTGAGAAATCCATGCTTGGAGGAGGCAAAGGAGATTAAAGAAGACTTAAATAAGTAGAGAGATGGGCAGCCCTGGTGGCACAGCGGTTTAGCGCTGCCTGCAGCCCAGGGCGTGATCCTGGAGACCCTGGATGGAGTCCCGTGTAGGGCTCTCTGTATGGTGCCTGCTTCTCCCTCTGCCTGTGTCTCTGCCTCTCTCTCTGTCTCTATGAATAAATAAATAAATAAAATCTTAAAAAAAATAAGTAGAGAGATAAACCATGTTTATGGGTTGGAAAACTATAAGTTATTAAAATGGAAATTTTTCCAAATTGATATATAGAGTCATTATAATCCCAGTCAAAATCCTAGCAAGCTTTTAAAAAAGGAAATTGACTGACTTCATGGTTAACCATGAAGTTGCATGACTTCAAGGTTAACCTTCTTCGTAATGCCATGTGGATAGCAGATACCTCCTGACATTATGTGGTGAGTATACTGAGCTTCTGTGGCATTCTTTCCGAAAACCATGAGTGTAGTCTAATCATGAGGAAAAATCAAATAAACCAAATTATGGGACATTTTACAAAATATCTAATCAGTACTCCTCAAGACCATAAAAGTCATGCATGAAAAACAAGGAAAAGGCTAAAAACTATCACAGACTAGAGGAGAAAGGGAAGACATGATGATTAAATGCAATGTGATATTCTAGATGGTATCTTGGAACAGAAAGAGGACATTCATTTAAAAACTGGTGAAATCCAAATAAAGCCATCAGTTAATAGCAATATGCAAGTGTTGGTTTCTTAGTTTTGATAGATATACCACAGTAATGTAAAATGGTAACACTGGGAAACAAATTAGGTGAGCAGTATATGGGAACTCTCCATATTATCTTTGCACTTTCCCTGCAAATCTAAAATTATTCCAAAATGAAAATTTTATTAAAATAAGTTGACAAGGTTATTCTAAAAATTATGGAAAGGCAAGGGACCTAGAACGGCCAAAATGATTTTGAAAAAGAAGAATGAAGTATTTGGGCTCATTTTAGGACTTATTACAAAACTACAATAATGAAGACCGTGTGGTATTGACATATGGGTAGACATATAGAAATGGAAGATAATAGCTTAGAATATATCCCCTTTTATAAAATTAATTGATTTTCTATTTTTTTAAAAAGATAGATTTATTTGAGAGAGAGAGACTGAAAATGAGAAAGAGCAAGCGAGCACAAGCGGGGTAAGGGTAGAAGGAGAGGGAAAAGTAGGCTCCTCTCTGAGAGGGGAGCCTGATATGGGGCTTGATCCCAGAACCCTGGGATCATAACCTGAACTGAAGACAGATGCTTAAGCATCTGAGCCACCCAGGTGCCTCAAGATTAATTAATTTTCAATTAAAGTGCCCAGGTAATCCAGTGGGGGAAAGGACAATCTTTTCAACAAAGGTGTTAGAAGAACTAAATATCTGTGGAAAAAATGAACTTTTCATTTTTTTTCCCTCACCTCAACCTTATATAGAAATTAACTTGATATGGACTGTAGACCTAAATTTAAGAGTTTAATGCTCCTAACCTCATCCTTCCCCCCAAATAGGGGAAACCCTGGGTTAAGCAAAGATTTTTCTTTTCTTTTCTTTCTTTTTCTTTTCTTTTCCTTTCCTTTTCTTTTCTTTTCTTTTCTTTTTTCTTCTTTTCTTTTCTTTTTTAAGATTTTATTTATTCATGAGAGAGAGAGAGAGAGAGGCAGAGACACAGGCAGAGGGAGAAGCAGGCTCCATGCAGGGAGCCCGACTTGGGACTCAGTCCCAGGACTCCAGGATCCCATCCTGGGCCGAAGGCGGCACTAAACTGCTGAGCCACTGGGGCTGCCCTAAGCAAAGATTTCTTAAATAGATATAGAAATCATGAATCTTAAAAGAAAACTAAATATTTAAATAAAAATAAATAAAAATTGTAAATACAAATTTAGACCCACTTTGTGAAAGACACAGTTGAGACCATGAAAAGGCACCATAGACTGAGGGAAGATATTTGCCAAGCATATATCTGACAAAAGGCTTGGATTCAGAATATAAAGAGAACTCTTATGACCAATAATAAGACAACAACCTAACAAAAAATAGGCAAAGAGTTTGAACAGACAATCCAAAAAAGAATATGCAAATATGACCAATAAGCACTTGAAAAGGTGCTTAACGTTACTAGTCATCAGGGAAATGCAAATTAAAATCATAATGAGATACCACCACACATTCATTAGGAAGACGAATATTAAAACCCTGGCAACCTCAAGTATTGACAAAGATTTGGAGCAACTGAAACTCTTCATACATTGTAGGTAGAATTGCAAAATGGGTCAGCTACTTTGGAAAACAACTTGACTGAAAACAGCTTGACTGCTGTCTTAGACAGTAAGCATATACTTATCATAGGACCTAGCATTGCTACTTCATAGTAATACACCCAAGAGAAATGAAAGTATATATTCATTCAAAGGCCTGTATGCGAATATTTATAGCCACATTATTTATAGTAGCCTCAAATGAAACAATCCAATTATCTATCAACTGGTTAATGGATAAAGAAGTTGTGATATAACCCTGCCATGAAATTCTGACAATAAAAAAGAAACAAAATGCTGATAATACAACAGCATGGATGAATTTCAAAAACTTTATGCTAAGTAAGAGAGGTCATAAAATTATATTCTGTATTATTCTGTTCATATGAAATTCTGGGAAAGATAAAACTATAGTAAAGTAGATCAGTGGTTGCTTGAGACTGGGAGGGGATCAACTGCAGAGAGGAAATTTTTTTAGGCTGATTGGAAATATTCTACAACTTGATTGTGGTGATGGCTTATAAGATTACATACAATTGTGAAAACGTAAACTACATTTAAAGTGAGTGACATTTATGTTAAATTCAACCAATAGAAATGTAAATTGAAAAAAAGAATTTGAGACTTTGAAATTAATAACACACTATTAAAAGAATAGAAGCAAAATAATAAAGGAAAAAGTTAATTATATCTAAAAACCAGCTAACAGTAATTATTGCAGTAGAGCACTAATTTTAGCTTCAAGTTCCCTAGTAGATAATACAAAAATGAAAACTTCACGTGCTACTTACTTTTTATTATGTCATAAACGGAAGAGTATTTGCCTGTCTGAAGACTACATGGGAAAAAGTATTTATTTTTGAGGATCTTCACATCAGAACATTAAATACCACACTGGACATTATTTTTCAAAGGACTAGAAAAAGTTGAAAATATTCTTTATATGATTGTATGGTTGATTCTTAGTTACATTGATCATGAGTTATCCATTTTTTCCCCTAGGAGCCAAAGTATCTTCTTGTTATTCTACCCTTAGGAGCAGCTTTTCAGATATCAGTAATCTGACCAAGACAAGTTTATGTGAGCTCAAGGGTGAAGGAGGTATGTTGAAGTTCACGGAGGAAGACTGTGTATAATCTATGAGACTTGCAGATGTTGACATTTTTTTTTTATTTTTTTTAAGACTTTATTTTTTAAAAGCAGGTAACACCAAAGGACTATGTCATATCCGTATTCATTGCAAAAATAATTACTGGGACTTTCAAAATATCAAAAGAATAAGCTGAATCACTGGTTACAACTATAATTTTCAGCCAATATACACATTTTTGTGTGTGTGTGTGTGTTCCAGGTCTAGGCTTCCTTTCTATGTATTATCATTCATGTGCGTTCTCTGTGTCTATTATCAAAATGGGGACACTCGAAACTCGAGCCCAGTTTTATCTTGTTTTCAAAGCTGATGCAGCAGCTAAATGAGAACTCTGGTTTTCTGATTCTTAGAAATCATGTCTTCTGATGCCATACAACGAATGGTATCTCTGAAAAATAAAGTCAGAATTCAAATTTCTTTGAAACAGGTAAGTCCCCAAGCTCTCCAGCACCATGGTACCTGGATGCTCACACTGTGCTTTCCTCTGTTTCTCTAAACACACCACTGGGAACCCCAAAGGGGTCCCACTTGAAGAGTTCCATTATAGAGGTTTTTGTAGAACTGCACTAAACCCACATAGAGGCCATGGATAAAAATCATCCATTGCTTTTTCTGTTAAGAACCAAAAAAAAAAAAAAAAAAAAAAAAAAGAGTGCCTTCCTTGGGAAGTAGGAAAGTAGTAACAATCCTACAGTTAAGAAAAATGGTTCTATAAATCCCTCCTTCCAAAATTATGTTCAAAGGTGTTTAAGACCCAAAGGGGGTCATAAAAATGGTGAATATAAATGACTCCCCTACTAGAAAAAAAGCCCTTCATGCAAAGTGGCTGAGGGTCTGGTGCGGAGAACTGAGGAAAAGATCCATGGTCAAGACCTGGCCCTACATGTTTCTAGCACGTATTTATGATCTCAAGGGTATAAATGTGGTGGGTGTGAATTGTTCCTCCTTGTGCTGAAAAAAGGAATGAAGAAATCAAAGTGAATTTGTGTGCTAACAAAAAGGGTTCTGAGAGGCAAGCCCTTTGTTTCTAAGGCAAGAGTTTTGTCATCGGAAGTGGGAACAGATGCACATGGTGGCAGGCACTGAAGGTGGGGCTGGCCGCCTGCGGGCCAGGACAGTCTCAAAAATAAGGCAAGCCGCAGCTTCTCGGTTTGAGACCACCCCCAGGAAGGCCCACGGAGGCCAGTAAACGAAGCTGGCCCATGGCAAACCACCCGAAGATATTCAAACAGGGGCGACAGTCACAGTTAAGGTGGGGTGCCTTGGGGTCACGGCAGGCGGGAACCAGCATTCAAGGTGAATGTCTTTGCATGTCCTGCGCATGACTCCAAGCAGCAATCTCTGGGTTTTTTGGAGGTGTGTTACTTTTTGCGATATATTTTTTCCCCCAAAAGAAGACACGAGGGTGGAGCCCCTGGAGAGATGAGGCCACCAAGGTGGAATGGGGCCGGGTGAGGGTTGTAGAGCACTCCGGGCAGCATGCGGCTCCCTCCAGGTCTGGCCGAGTCCTACAAACGCTTGTAGGTGCCCAGGAGAGCTTTGCAGTTGGGACAGTAGTGGTCCACGTCCTGCAGGGCGTCCACACAGAAGGGGATGAAGCAGCAGCCCGTGATGCACCCCAGCAGGCACAGGCTCCCGCAAGAGAGCCAGGTGAGGGCACCGGCATTATAGGACAACTGGGTCACAATCATCTTGTTGCAGGAAGGACAGCACATCTGGATCGGACGGTCAAAAAAGGAGATGGGTTGCTGCACGTAGATGGTCTGCACGGCGATTGCATTGGCGTTGGGGACGGGCACTGGCTGGGTGTAGTAGGCTGGTGGATTCATGCCCTTGCCATCCGGGCCCGTCACCAGCCCCGTGGTCGGCCCTGGCACAGGGGCAGGAGGCATAGGGAAGTAACTATTGACGGCCACCGTCTCTTCATAGGATGGGGGCGCAGTTGGCACCGAGGAAGGCCCAGCGGCCGCCTGGTAGGATCCTGGAACAGACATTTTACCGCTGCCCGCGCCGCCAGTCGAGCCAGGAGGTCTGAGCGCGCGGTGCAGCCGAGCTGCGGGGCCGAGATGTTCACATTTTTATAAGAATTCAACACCTAACCCCAGGAGAACTCATCCCACCCTGCGTAGAGTTTATGTCTTTAAATGTTTAGACAAGCATTCTGTTGAATTCTGAGTTTTTATTTTTTTAATTTTAATTTTATTTTTAAAAAATATTTTATTTATTTATTTGACAGAAAGAAAGAGAGAGAGAGAGAGAAAATGAGTACAAACAGGGGTGTGGCAGGCAGAGGGAGAAGCAGGCTCCCTACTGAGCGGAGAGCCTGATGGGAGGCTCCATCCCAGGACCTTGAGATCATGACCTGAGCGAGCAAAGGCAGACACTTAACCGACTGAGCCAATCCAGTGTCCTGAATTCCTAGTTTTTATATCACAAGCAGAGAAGACAAATTCCACTGATAAGAATCAATGGTTAGAACTGTTCGATAGAACTCTAATAAGGACCATGTTAAATGTTTTGATTTGAGCTGGTCTGCAGCCTAATAAGCTTGCCAACTTATCTTCAAGATATAACCTTAGGTAATGACATTGGTTGACCTGTTGAATTATTTAGTATTTTCCATTTGAGTGCTGCTGAAATTTACACGTGGAAAATGAAGATTTGGTCCTAGCATACTTGAAGTTGGATTATTGATTTCTGAAGCAGCAGATCAACAGATTCAGTTACTTCCTGTAGGAAATATTCTCTCATTCCTATCTCTTGTGTCAGGACCCAATTGAGACTATTTAGGTAGAGGTACAGGCTTTGGAAACAGTTACATTAAATCCCTTTGAGGTTTGGAATATGCTTTGTGAAATCTTCATCCCTGCCACTTTCAGATGCCTCTGCAATGGACTGAATGGTTATGTCTCTCCAAAATTCATATGTTAAATCCTAATCCCCACAGTGATGGTATTAGGAAGCAGGGCCTTTGGGAAGTGATTAGGTCATGATGCTGCATTGGATTAGTGCCCTTATATAAGAGACCACAGGATGATCCCTCATTGGTATGAGGACATAGCAGAAAGACAGTCTGAGTACTATGAAGTGCACTCTTAATTGGACACCGAATCTGCTGGTGCCTTGATCTTGGACTTATTAGCTTCCAGACTGTGGGAAATAAATTTTTGTTGTTTATATGGCACCCAGTTTATGGTATTTTTGTTATAGCAGCTAGAATGAGTAAGAAAAACCTCTTAATTTCTGTGCATGACTCAGAGATGGTAAATGAGACAGTTGCTTTCCCCTGGCTCCTTGGCCACCATCATAAACAGGGCAGCAGAATGGCTAAAAGCCTAGGTTCTGGAAATGGACTGTGTGGTAGACAAATGACATCAAGGCAGCTTAATATCTCTTGACCATCCACTCCATGTTTGATAGTTTCCTGTGTTGTGAATTTTACCTCTCCCACGGTAGCATAAAAACAAGCTGCTTTCCCCAGTTTTCCTATAGCTAATGTCCAGATAGGTAACTTAAATTTAAGTTAGGAATTTGATGCCCTAAGGAAGACCTTGAGTCATAAGTGATCTGTAGAAGGAAACAGGCTGGTCACAAGGCATTATTTTGCTGGCTATAGAGTGGATGGCAGAAACCAACCCTTTGTAGGATCAGTGGTAGCAGCAGTTTCATTCACGGAGTTCTTGAGTGTGCTACTGGCCCAGCTTAAAGCTCTAACTTAAGACCCAACTCAAAAATTTTTTCGAATATTCTTGACTCTGGTGAGTCAGTCTCATCCTCTTTTGTGCCTTCCTTTAACAGTGATAATTAATTTTATAATATGTATAATTTTATAGTAGTTTCTTTGAAAACTTTATTCTAAAAGCTCATGTAAAAATTATCGGAACTGAGAATACTATACAAGATCATTCTGGCACATAATTACCACTGAATCTAATGGAGACATCTATTTTTCTACTGTACCATACTTGTTTGTGATATGAATGAGTCTTTCTAGGACTCAGCCCAGCAATGATTCTTAAAACTCGGTGTGTACAGTCACCTGTAGAGCTTGTTAAGATGTGTATTCCTGAGCTCTACCCAGAGATTCTGATTCGTTTGGTTTGATGTGGGGCCCAACAATCTGCATTTTAAAAACATTTCAGCTGATTCAGAGGCAGCTAGCCCACAGACCATACTTTTATAAATATTGGACTATAGTTGAAACTCCTTACGCATCTTTACCTGTATCTACCCTCATTCATCAATGTTAGTCCCATGTCTGATACATGGTAGATACTCTGTAAGTATTTGCTTAATGGCTGAATCTCTTTATTGCATAACGAATAACAAAGGACAGAAATATTTAAAACAGTCACACTTTACATATACATGTTGCTCAAAATCTAAGAATGCTTTGGAATTAAAGAAGCAAATTGAATAATATTTTTCTGTACAGGGATTCAACAGATTCTCTATCATTAAACTGTCTGGTTCAGTGGGTTTCCCACTAAAGCCAGGATTCAATTTTAATTTATGATCAAACATAAGATTCTACATACTAATTTTTGGTTTGCATATTTATCAGGGAAGATCCATACATCTGATTTGTTTATTATTAAACAAGGTGTTTTTTTCCTAGAACTTTAATGCTTGAGTTCTAGCAGGACTTCGCCTCCTGCTGTTCTTCTAGCCCTCCCCTCTGTGACACTTTCTCTGGGTGTCAGGAGCTTAAGTTTGAGAAAAACAGCATTTGTGAAATAGTAACTTCTGAGGTACCATTAATGTATTGATGTGGAGATGACGATCACAGGGCTCAGATGAAAGCTTATTTATTTCTTTAGCTTTGGTTCTTTGTCTGCTGAAGTTTGACTAGTTAGGCACAATAACAGCCAATAGCAGGTGAACATGGCTTGAGAAGAGAAAGATCAGGAACTATAGCTGAAAGCACTCAGAAATGGGAGTACTCACTGTTGGCCCTGGTCATGGAAGTCTTATACTGTTCATTTCCACTTGTAGAGATTCTGACCGTCATGCATTGTCTCATTTGGATGACACCTCTTACAAGAAAGACTTTTTTTTTTATTTTTCCACATCTGTATCCAGTAGGATCTTGTCATTTCTATGAATCCTTTATCTGTTCTGCCAAACTGTTAGCATCCTGGGGCAAGGGTAAGTGAACTGAATAAGGACTCCACAAAAATGTGAATGGGCTGCTTGCAAAGGGCCCATGTTTTCCTGCTATGAATGGAAGGAATAGGACAAATATGCTAAAATGTACTAAGGGCTTTTGAGAGAGGGTTTTTTTTTTCTTTTTTTCTTTTGGAGAGTGGGGGAGAAGGAGGGTAAGAACCTTAAAAATAAGAGTAGAGAACTTCTGGGAATTGGTGATGTACCTATTTAATGAAATACTAAACAACAATGAAGAGAAGGATCTTTGCAAGGGGTATAAATGAGGCAATGATTCATTCACTTTTCCTACTTAAAAACAACTTGCTAAGATGTATTTTACATATTAAATCTATCCATTTCAAGTGTACAATTAAATGATTATTAGTAACTTTACTGAGCGGTGCAACCATCACCATACATCAGCTTTAGAGCATTTTCATTTTCCCAACAAGATCCCTTATGGCCATTTATAGTTAATCCTATTAATACTCCCAGGCCCAGGCACCTACCAATCTGTTTTATGTCTATAAATTTGCCTTTTCGGGCACTTCATATAAATGGAAGTATGCAATATGTGGTCTCTTGTGTCTGGCTTCTTTCTCTTTGCATAATGTTTTTGAGGTTTTTGTGTGATGTAGCATGTATTGGTAGTTCTTCCTTTCTATTGTGAAATAGTATTCCATTATATGGATGTACCACACTTAGCATATCCATTTACTGGTTGATTGACATTCAGGTTGTTTCCAGTTTGGGACTATTATCAACAGGTCTGCTATTCAGCAATGAAAATTTCCTTTTCTTTTTTTTTTTTTTTTTACTGAAAATTTCTATACTAGTCATGGTGTAGACATGTTTTAATTTTTCTTATATTGATATCTAGGAGTGGAATTGCTGGGTAATTTGGTAGTTTTATGTTTAGTTTTTTGAGAAACTTCCAAAGTGTTTTTTAAAGTGTCTGCAGCATTTTATATTCTCACTAGCAGTATATGAGGGGTCCCATTTCTCCACATCCTCATCAACATTTGTTATCCTAATGGGTGTGAAATGGTATCTCATTCTTATTTTAAGTTACATTTTCCTAATGACTACAGATGCTGCACATCTTTTCATGACTTTATTAGCCATTAACCACTTGCATATCTTCTTTATAGTGAAAAACCAAGTCATATATTTTGCCCATTTTAAAATTGGGCTGTCTTTTGGAGGACCTGGGTGGCTCAGTTGGTTAAGTGTCTAACTTTCAGGTTTAGCTCAGGTCATGATCTAGAGGTTATAAGATCAAGCCTCATGCTGAAAGCGGAGGCTGCTTGAAATTTTCTCTCTCTTCTCCCTCTGCCCCTCACACATCCCACTCACATGCACATACTGTTTCCCTCTCTTAAAAAAAAATGAGTTGTCTTTTTATAATTGAATTGTATGAGTTATTTGTATATTTTGGGTATAAATTCTTCATCAGATATATGTTTTGTAAATATTTTCTTATAGTCTAGTCCTTGTCTTTTTTTATTTTCTTAAAGCTGTCTTTTGTAGTGCAGAAGTTTTAAAGTTGGTTAAGATCCATTTATCAATTTTTCTTTTATGGAATGTGCTTTAGCATAATATCTAAAATTCTTTTCTCTTACTCAAGGTCTCAGAGATTTCCTCCTACAGTTTTTCTATTTATTTCTTACATTTAAGTCTGTGATCCTTCTGAGTTAATTGTTGCATATGGTGTGAGGTGGGGGTCTAAGTTCATCATTGGGCATGTGGATATCTAATTGTACTAACTGGGGATCCCTGGGTGGCGCAGCGGTTTAGCGCCTGCCTTTGGCCCAGGGCGCGATCCTGGAGACCCGGGATCGAGTCCCACATCGGGCTCCCGGTGCATGGA